ATATATATATCTAGGTATGTATATGTATATATACACATACATATATATATATATAGATATATATATATATTTATACATTTACACACACAAACACAATATATACATATATATATATATCATTTACACACACTCACAATATATATATATATACACACACACACACACCTATATATATATATATATGTATATTTTTATACATATATGTATATACCTTCACACACACACACACACACACATATATATATATACTTGGCTACATGGTTACTAATATATTCCATTATATTTACTTTGTGGCACCTGCTTAATGACATATTAGCGACTCCTATTGGGTTTAAGTGCGCCTGTGCTAACAAAATACAGTATACGTTTTATTATGATCGAAGTATGAGATTGAACGATCTATTTGTTCGGCAACACCCCTCGAATGCTGCTTAGACTTCCTGATTCATGTAAGAATCGTACCAAAATATCATAAAGTATGATCATGGAAGCAAACTTCATTGGCACACTTAATACACCACAAGACGTACAAACATTGATAATACGCGAATGACAGAAGAGATTCTGCTACGCTTCTCTCAACATATGCATACCTAATATTATCTTCTCTATATGATGTTGACGCGCGTATCTTACTTGCAGGTGCTTGTGATAACATATATAGAACTATCTCATTAGCGTCCTATAATTTTACTATATCATTAACTTTTCGTCGATCGTAGTTTCATTATATCAATTATATTTATAGAGGGGCTTTGTGTCGACCCAAAAAAGGTCAAATCAGTCGAATCCCATTTACCCCTGTAGGTATTCGTAACAACAATGTTTCAAAATACCGTTGTAAATAAGTCGATTGTATAGAGATGACTATAGAGTTTACAACAAAATCTGTATTAGTTGTAAATGATTTTTCAAATCTGTTTGGCGCGCAAACGTCTACCCCAATGAAATACTAATATTTGAGATCTTTAGATTGTTTTGTGAACGCCACACCCCATCAAATGTATATGAGTTGTATCAGTTGTCACTTTGACATATGGCACAAAATTTTAATCCTATATTTATCATAGCCTTCTAAATTAGACATTTATATATATTTTATATATTTATGTCTTGACTCTGCAGTCGATATTTGTCGTCTGTCGATGTGTGGCAGATGACGTCGTGTATTAAACGGTCTTAATGTGCGATCATACGGGGTTTATAATCAATATAGTGAAATGATTATTCATATTGTAACTCGCACTATACAATGTTTAAAAATCATCCCTGAGGTCGACGCCATTATCTCTTAAGGACGAAGATTGATTCTATCATCCAACTACAATCTGGAGTGGCAAGCGTGTAGTAGGGTGCATTTAATGCAGTAATAAGAGTGGTACGAAGCCTTTATGTTGTGCGATGCCAGGAAATAATTTTGTGGGAGATCGATAGTCACTAGAAACAGTGTCACAAACACTTAACTGTATGGCTTGCTGTCCAGTAGTGTGAGACAGCATCCTCACAGTATGCTTGTATCTCAGCCCGTGCTGTTTAAATCGCACGTAATACAGTTCGAACTCATACCTTCGTAGAAGCTCTACAAATGTAAAGGGCTCTTTCAACTAGATTCAATGGCTGGTCATCTTTTGAATCGTGAAGCCGTCATTGCATATTATGGAGGTGGGATGTCAGATATTAATTCGTGGATATTGAAAAGGATCACCAGCCCTTTTCGTTTAATTAGCGATAAGGTATTCTTCGATGAGTTATTTTCCGGCGACAGTGGCTTTGCAGACCTACACAGTGGACAAACGCATCTATCTCGGCGGCAACACAGCAGGCAATTGATGCCGTTCTCTTTATACACCTATGATACATACACACACACACACACACAACACACAATACACATACACACACACACACACACACAACACAAACACACACACACACACACACA